AGCTTCCGTTGGAAACGAACTAAATCCCAAAACGGCTAGTACACCGCCGCTCTCCCAGGTGTAAGCTAGTCCGACAAAGCGAGGTTCGTTATTTGAATTATCGCAGACGGTGTCGTATTATGCCAATTTAATTATCTACTGTTGTTCATACGACAGTATTGTTTACTCTGCGGGTATGTAAACAAATGCTACAGTCAAAGCTCAAAAAACCGATAAATGCCAAAACCGATAATTTTTCTAATTTCCAAAACACGTATAATAAAATTTGTTCGGAAAACCGATATTTTATATAAGGGTCTCCTTAACGGTGTGTACACCCGAGCGTAAGTTAAATTGGTACACGCACGGTTAAGGTGATATTGAAGACCAATTACTTAAGAAACATACCGGCTCTAAGGGTCCCAGATCTCAATTTAATTGAGAATTTATAAATTATGAAAAAAAAAACAGAGTTGAACGGAAGGTAAATAAATACTTTATTACAAAAAGTGGACAACACTAATTAGCTCCAATGTCCTATCGATGAATTTGAGTTCTTCTCCTTTAATAAATTTGCCTCTTGCTTTCATCTCAAGCCATTTTTTTATGTGCGACTTTTCTTTTAGTTGGGGCGAAACTATAAAGAATGTTACCTAACTTGCTTACTTGTGAATTATTGCATATGAAAACTACAGTACATCCAATTTTCTTAAGAAAGCTTACCTTTTAAATGTCTAAACGATAACTTGTTCTGCATTCCTCTGTTCTATCATTCTTATTGATTAGTACTAGTTTTCTCTATGCAAAAAAAAAGCCTTAATAGTAAGGTTTTGAAAGTTAGATAATTTATTCGGGTTATATGATTTACACTACTAACTGCCTAATTATGGAAATATAAATCGTTCCTAATTTAGCAACATACAGTAAGACGCAACCCCCATAAGTGCAATCCTCCCCTAAATGCAACACTTTCCGTTCTAATAGATTTATTTCCCTAAGTGCACTCACGTGATTAACGTAATGTTATTTGTTGCGGAAAAATGATCTGTAGTACAAATTTGTTTCACGTACAATATCAAGTCAAACATCACTATTCGCGCGCACATCATTCGAGTTTTTATGTGTGAAGAATTGCTATTACTATTTTCTTTTTTCAGTGTTTGAAATTTATCCTGTTTACAATAGCTTTGAAATAGCAGAAAGATTGTTACTATTATAGTTCTAACTGTGCACAGGAAATATTCTTTCAGCGTTTGAGTTAGAAGCTGTTTGTTCATTTTACAATAGCTTTGAAACTAGCAAGAAGAGCTTTAATTGTTTAACGTAGATATATAAAAATGAGGAACCAGTAGTTATTTAAAAGCCGTTAATAGTCAGAAATTTATTCGCGAAAAACAGGTAAATTTATAATGAAACAAAGTAGTATTACACAATTCTTAGTTAACAATTAGGATATTGATAGCAAAATTTTAATAGACGTAAATAGTTAAAATATTTTTCCTAATAAGGAAACCCTCTATAATAATAAATGCAAAACCCCCATAAATGCAACGCAGCGCTCGATCCTAAGGCGTTTGCATTTATGGACGGCCCGCCCATACATGTGAACATACAATTTAGTATTATCTGGTTGAGTTAAAAACATATCATGTGACTCTGCAATAAATGCTGCAACTGCAAACCACCCTACGGTACTCTTGCTCAATGGGTAAGAGATTCATGGGAAGAAGTTGACATTCATTTGATTGTAAAAGCGTTTAAGTGTTGTGGTGTTTCAGTCAAAATGGACGGGACAGAGGATGATGTGGTGTTTGATTATGAAGAATATGAAGAAGTCGGAGGCAGTAATGTTTGGGAATAATCATAGTTTAATAAAATTTGTTGTTATTTACTGAACAAATTTGTGTTATTATTAAATTTTATAAATTTTAATTGGCTGTTAGAAGGAGGTACAAATCACAGGGGGGTATATATGCTGGAGGATACCATAACTAATACCCGGGTATAAATCAAAATTTGGCCTTCGAAATTGCCACAGGGTATAGCTCATGGGGGGTACTCGTGTCGGAGAAATACGGTAGTTTCTCCCCCTGCTTCAAAAAATATTATCTGACCCTTCAGCTGCGGTTGCAGAGTTGAGACAAAATAGGAAAGATAAAAATTATGACGTAGCAATTCGTGGCAGCATTAGCATGCCACTTTGATGTCGGGTAACTCGGAAAATATGGCACATAACGAGTTGTTCCTACAATTTGAGAACTATGAATTCGACCGTGATGAAGCGTTTCAAGTAAGGTTGTTCATTAATTTCACTCTGTTTTTAATGATGCGATTAAACTTGTATCGATTATATATATAGAAAGGTTTGCAGACTGTTGTAGCTTCTGGCAAAGACAAACCACAACAGGAAAGAGAGGCATTTATACAGAGGGCAAAATTCTTTTACTTCTCAAAGTAAGTATAGCTGGTATAGAACTCGTAAACGGAATCGTTTATTTACTTGATTGTCTCTTATGATAGAACCGTTAGCAAAAAAATCGATTATGATGAGTACGTAGCGTGGAAGCTGGATAGACAGAATGTAAACAGCCTTGATACTTCGCCAACCAAGACAGAAGCCTGCTCGCCGCAAAATGATATAGATGCACAACTTACATTGAATTCTTCTCAAAATCTAGAGACAACGACTTCTGGTAAAAGTAGCGGTTTTTCATCTGTATCACATACTCTGATGTGTCAGTATCCTTATAACACTTATCCTTCATAATGTTTCAGATAACAAGCCACCGCATTCTCGCTCATTTCAAGAAGTAGTTAAAATGATAGCAGCAGGCGAGATGCCACCAGGTACGGATTCATCTGGCATTCACACACCAAATTTATTTCTTATTATTGACCATTCTCTTCTAATAGTGCGAAAAATCCCTGATGAACTCAACAAAAACCCTCCAAAGCCACCAACCATGGAACCAAAACCAAAGCCGTGGAAACGAGTCTCTTGAATCTTGGCAGGTTTGTATAAATTGATTCAACTGACCATTATCGCGATTCTCCTCAATGTATTAGAACGCTACCTGGTTCCATTTTGAATGAAAGATAGTTGCTTTTCATTACAATCATTTAAAATTCTCTTATCTCCACTTTCGAGATGAGTCATGCTCAACTTTCCTTTATGAAGGCGCATCGAACTGACGCCTTTGTCTTAGTCTCCCGACGAGATTCTTTTTTTTCTTGACCATTGTCTCCGCCGAACCATCCAGATACTCTAATTCTGGCTTTTCCCCCTCGTATTTAGTGCATGTGACATTGACGTTCCGACGTTAAGGCGCGAGATGAAAGTGATGGATGTTGAAAAGCTTTGTCCTACAATCTATTGGTAAAGTAGCGAGGCATTGGCTGACGTCTTCGGGGGGAGGGGAGGGAGTAATTTGAAGATTGAGACAGGGAAATATTGTTACTCTTTGATTGAGTAGGAAATTAAGGAAATTACACTATACTGTTTTGTACGGATTGCGTGCAGACTACGATATAGCATAATGTTGTCTACGTGTTGTTTAGCTTGAAAATAAACCCCCGTCTTCGGCTGAAAATCATCAAGACTCATAGCGAGATCCTATAATAAAAAAAGTGAACGGACTATATAGGATCGAATGTTGGATTAATTTACCGCAAACCTATTTGCTCCATTTCATTCTCTCCCGATTCGCTCTTTTCCATCTTCAATGCATTTTCTCTCTCTGTCTCTATTTGAAATCACAATCCCGTTCACATTCAAATCACCGCTCTCCCGCTATAATTAAAGAAATTAAGAGATAAGCTTAAAGTAGGTGACAAATTGTTCTCACGCATTGCTTATGCAGATCACGATATATCATGATGACTATTAATATACTCGTGACCTGCGTCAGTTCTGCCAGAATTAGAGAAATTAAACCCTTTATATGAAACTAATCCGTATTAATATGAAAAGGGCGACAGCTTAGTTTACCCATTATCATGACGGAAACCGTTGTCCGCCGCGTCGCGATTGTAGGCGGTGGTCTCGTTGGAATGCTTGCAGCCATATATTTTGCTAATCGTGGTTGGCAAGTAACTGTTTTCGAGTTCCGAAAAGGTATGATTTTGTTGGGAATATGACCCGTTTGTATGAACTTCTTCTAACTTGCTCGTAGATTCTAGACAGCTTGAGGATACTGCTTTACTATCAAACAGGTCTATCAATTTGGCTTTGTCTGTTCGCGGTCTTAATGCATTGAAAAAGCCTGGTCTAGGTCTTCATGAACAAGTTCTTGGCTCAGTTATACCGATGAAAGGCCGAATGTTACATCTTGACAAAGGAAGGCTAGTAAGCCATCCTTATGGCGTTTTTGGCGAGGTATCTTTGCAACACTTTGCAGACATTCGGCACGTTCGTATTAGCTAACATTGATTTGCATAGTCTAACGTGCTATCACTGCCAATAGTGTATTAATTCGATTGATCGAGCTCAACTACTTAAACTGCTTCTGGATACTGCCGAGGAACTCGCCAACGTAAAAATATTATTCGAACATCAATTGAAATATTGCGATTTCGATTCCGGAGTGCTTGTGTTCGAGAATCAGTGAGTATTTAATGGTTTGTTGGCTCTCGGCTTGTAAGATACTCATCGCGTACATTTTTGCGTCAAAGTTCGAATGGATCGGAAGTGAGCCAAACGACAGATTTAATTATTGGTGCAGATGGCGCTTACTCAACGGTTCGGAGTCAGCTTATGCGTCCTGTGAGGATGAACTTTCAGCAAGAGTACATACCACATGCGTATTGTGAATTGAACATCCCGCCTGTGACAGATGCTGATGGACGGTCAAAATTTGCAATGGATCCGAATCACTTACACATATGGCCACGGCATTCATTCATGATGATCGCTCTACCGAACACGGTCAGTCTTTCTCGATGTTCTGCACGCGTAACGTTGATTATTTTTTTTCTCAACTAACAGGAAAATCATTTAAATATACTTTAGAATAAGTCGTTCACATGTACTCTTTTCATGCCATTCGAAGAATTCGAAGCTATTAAAACCGAAAATGATTTAATGTCATTTTTTCAAAAGCACTTCCCTGATTCGATACCACTTATGGGCGCACAAAATCTCAAAGAAGAGTACTTTCGTAACCCCAAAGGCCCGATGATGTCTATCAAGGTACGTGTAGGCAGATTGCGTTTCATTGGATTATTATCATTTGCACCAAATTTCGAACAAAAGGTTTGAATATCAATTTGCTCGGTCTCATTTTTTATAGTGCACACCATACAATTACAAAGAACGCGCCATAATTATAGGAGATGCCGCTCATTGCATGGTACCATTTTATGGGCAAGGAATGAACTGTGGCTTCGAAGATGTATTCCTGCTAAATGATTTCCTGGACAAATTTAATGTGGATGATACTAAGGACACAAATGAATTTAGAGAATCGTTAGATAGAGCATTAAACGCGTATACTGAACGACGACACACGGATGCAGCAGCTATTTGTGATCTTGCGATGCGCAATTACATTGAGATGCGTTCCGATGTGGTTAAACCATTGTATATCATAAGAAAGAGAATCGAGGGTGCCTTACACGCGATATTTCCGAAACATTTCATACCGTTGTATACAATGGTTAGCTTTTCAAATATTCGTTATTCAGAGGCTGTCTACAGATGGAAACGACAAGGATTATGGTTATCGATAGCGGCTGCAGCAGGTGGCTTTTGCTCAATCGCTAACTTGGTCTACTTGGTACTGCGATATTCTCGCATTACACGTTTCAGGCGATGGTTCATAGACAATTAATTCAAAAGGGTCTGGCGTTTATATGCCGTCAAGTGTATTGACAATTTTTGTGCAGGACGTGTTCGCCAACCGGTTTTACTCGGTAAGAATTCGAGTTTTCCCTGACAATCTGCAATAGTGATCGCATGCCATTCGACGATTTACTACTGTTTCAACATTTTTATTATTATTACCCTACAACAACTGTTAGTATATATATTACATAATAGTTAGACTGTACTGTTAACAAGAAAATAAACACCAACTCAAAACCCAGTCATCTCCAGACGATAAAACCGATAATGAAGCTATACCGGTATCATTTCCTGTAAAAATTATAAATGATTTATTTCGCTCGTGGAAAATGTGAAATTCCATAAACAGTAGGATGCAAAATACCACTTCTAATTCGGGACACGAATGAGTAAACTTCGCTGTGTACAGTGTATAATAATCCTGATCGCTTTCTAAACGCAAAAGTTTTTACCATGACATATTTCGGGGTTTCAGTCATAAGAGTTCAAAAATTCATATCAACACTTCTCTAACCTAATTTTGTGATTTTTTTTTTTTTTTTGATTTTTTCTCTGCACCATCAAATTGCATTCATATAATTACAAATTACTGTGTGAATCGCTACTACAAAATACAAACAATTGTGCGGCATAATGATACTTATAAAGATCATTCACGTGTATAATAGCGATTATCAATGCAGACGTAAACTCCAGCATTCGATATACCGTGTCAATATACTGTACGTAAGTTCGAAACATTGAATCATGATTTCAAATGAATATTGCCATCACTCCAAATATCGACAAACATTAAAATCGAACGTTCCCGAATTTCCCTAATTTCAAACATTGAATCGATTCGTAAAATTACCAATGCATTACCTATGACATGTGTATTCAAGACACTGAATCACGAGCATTAACAAATATTACGATTATTTCCGTGCGATATGTGAATTGTTGAAGTATTCCACCGAATATATAAAACAAGCATCTTTCCACCTCATTTCACTAAAGAACCAAAAGGTAATTCCAACTAATACTATAAACCAGCTATCTTTTGCTAAAGAAACGAAAACAATGATTGCATCTATCAGTCAAATGGCCTACATAGTTAACGTAAATAACGAACAAATAAATGAGAAAATTATCCAAAAAGGCCGAGCTATCTCGAAATTTGATAGCTCCAAATTTTCCAATACTACCGAAACATAACTCCGATACAGACAATTTGGAATTTAGTACACGAGCTCAAAACAAAGTTTACCAGATAACTGGGTTCCCCTCCTCCCGAGCCGCGTGTTTGGACTTGCGTTTTTTGTGGCAAATTTTCTCCTCTTAAAGATAACGTAATTGATATTGTTATCACGACTTGAACATTGGCATTACATCTCCTCGGAAAGGTAACAACACAAACTAACATTACCGAAAGCGGTTATACTCTGACGCTTCAAGTTAAACCAGCACACAGTGCGGTCAAATGCAGTCTTTTCATAAAAACGCATTCACTACAGATCCAGAAGTAATACAAAATGACCGACTCGAACAAATTGCATCAGATCCTTTACCGACAACTTAAATCAAACAACCTCATTATTACCAATTGATACATCAATGACTGCATTATCAACCATTGAACTAAAAACACGACACTTTCCTGTTTTCTGCAAATGAACAATAAAGAAATAAAATGCTACTTTTTTATATATTGGCAATATTAAAATACTTGTCCTATTATATCCATCTATAAAAAATTCAACATAATCGTTTATAACAATAGAAGATAATTTTCAAAGTATCAAGTTGTATGCGCGATATTTGTAATTGTGCGTTGTTCATTAACACTGTCTACAACAAAGGAAGAAAAAAAAAATACAATTTGAAAAATTCAATTATTATTATTATTGCTTTATGGTATCGTTTTGTTTGTTTTTTTATGATATTAAACAATTTGTTGTAAAAAGTGTCACGTGGTCAAAAATAATCGTAAATATCGGCATCTTTCCCGATGGGAAAGACAGATGGACAACTCGGTACATATATCGAACATTCCCTTTGAACTGACAAAATCTCAGCTAATTGAGGGTTTGTCCCCCCTCATAAATGGCAAAATTACAGAATGCCATCTTAAAAACCATGCCACACGTTATGGATGGAATTGTGGATGGGCGACTATCCATTTTGAGCAAGAGGAAGACGCCGAACGGCTATTGAGGAAAGCTCGACACTGGTTGCATGGAAGACCCTTAAACATATCCAAGGCCAAAAAAAGAACAATACATAGCGTATCAGCGGGAACGGAGTATTTAGTTGATAGCCTAGAGTTGGGAAGTTGGAGCGGCGTATCAGTCGCAAATAAGAACAAAAGGCGCAGTCAAAATGAGGAAACAGTTCGGACATTCTTGTCTGAATATAAACATCCAGAATATTGGAAGTTACAGGTCCAAAAGAGAGAATTTATTAAACTTATCGTAGAAAATGAAGGTCGTCCGAATGTAATTTACATTAACGCTAGGGTACTTGACGAACAATGTAAAGGCGTCATCATAGATACGTCTCGAGAATATCGAGACGAATTGGTAGTATACCTTACTTTAAAACACCCACCCGAACTACATAAACAGCTAGAGCAAGTTGATGCATTATTCAGTGAGTTAAATATTGATATTAACATGTACCATGACGATAATTGGACAGCATGGTCGCGTTGTGGCGATTGGACAGGTGACCATAGCGTCTTTGGTCAGTTCCTGGTATATCGACTGGTCCTTAAAGAAAATCTTCAATCTATTAAAAAAGCTCTGACAGCGATCGATGCAAATCTACAGGACTGCCTGGTAAAGTACAAAAACCCACATCCTTTGGATGAAACGATGGACGAGGTTATATATCCACTCTTACCGTTCAAGATTAACTTCAAGCTTGAATGCTTACTTTCGCACAACGTATTGACAGTGCGCGAAGTGTTTGA